CTTCAAGATCTTGCACGAGTGCTCGTAAGATTTTTTAAGGCATCTTTGTCCTCCATTTTACAGATTGAGAGCTGCACAGATCTGCACAAAACCCAGTTAACACTCCTCACACTTAACTGCCTCAGTTTTCTCAGCCAGTTACAGAATCCCATCAATAAGGTGTAAACCCACAGTTTCTTTCTTGATTTTGGTGGACCACATTGCTGAGTCATCCACCTTCACTTCATTGGAATATTTTTGCCTGTTTGCCCTTTCGTACTCGAAAGTTGGGAATCTTTCCTGTGCCACTTTACATCTCCCCTTTCTTGCATCTTTTCTGACGTCTTTTTCTTTGCTATTTAAGAACTGCCTGTCTCTGTCTCCAGACTTCTGACTGGAAGTAAGATAAAAATGTTTTTGTTTGAGTAAGAAACACCTGCTGTTGAGACATGTTTTATCCTAGATCACCGTTCTCATCTAGACATCTGTGATTTTTCTCTACTCTAGTCCTATGTGTTAGAAGTCCAAATATATTAAAAGTAACAGCAATTCAAAAGTTTTCTGTTCCAAGCTATCCATCAGAAATCAACTGTTTCTTCCCTGTTTATCCTCCCCCTCTTATCCTTTATTCTTTTGTCTTCTGTATGCACAGCATGTACATCAGGGCCAATCTCACAAAGCACTGGCATAAGGAAGGTGGATGGAAAAGCCACTACATTTGCTGGAAGCTGGGAGGAACGACGGCATTTCATACTCAGAGGTGATTTGATGACAAGAGTCAGAAAGAAGTTTAATGTTTGAGGGCAGTGAGCTGCACAGAAACCTGCCAAGAGATACAGGATCATAAGCAATAAGCTAGGAAGCACTTGGTACTGCGTGAGAACTAGGCATTAATCAGGAAATATTTACTCTGTAAATGACATGTAGATACACTGGAAGAACAGGGGATTTGAGTGAAACAGAGTAGAACTATCAGAGGGAGCATGCATTAAAGGAGTTAGCTGTGGGACTCCTGTGAGCAGGAGCTGGGGGCACAGAGGACAGTGTGTTCAAGAGGTTGGTTAATGATTAGAACTTTGTGTGCAGGGAAGGTATAAATTCAGGAGTCACAGCATTGTTCAAACTAGCACAAAGGTGTGTATTTGAGCCAAAAAAAAAAAGCAGCACCTGGACAGTGATACATCACAATTTGTGTGAAATACCACCCACAACGACTGAGATGGCTCATTCAGGCTAAGATCACTTGACCAACTAGTAACAGCATCCAAAAGGCACATACACTATTCAACAGTTTATACACTGAGACATCAAAAGAAAAAACTTCACTCCATTTTAAAGGGTCATTGTATAGGCTAAGTGTGCTTTTGGTGGGGAAATGCTTTCTCTTACATTTCTCCTAGGGAAAAGTCTTCTAGGGCAAAGTTCCTAGTGAGTTCTGCAGGATTCAGACAGAACTACGACTCAACAGTGCTACTGAGAGGGTATTAATGAAACTAATTATGGCAGCTGTAGCATTGTTGTCCATTTTTTTTTCAAAACTGAAGTTATTCTCTCTGTGTTTTAGTCAAGTGAAAGGAAATAGATGGGGGGGGGGGTAAAACAATGTCAGCACAATTGAGATATTCATGAATATATTCTCTTGAATATTTATTGTAATCACAAAAGGAAATAAAACTTCCAACAAAAAATTAAACAAACAAAATCCACTTGGTATACAGAAGTCACATACAACCAGAATATCCAATGGAATACACATGGTCTCTAGTTCCACATAGAATTAAAACTCTGCACATGATAAGAGCAATGAAAAAAATTGAAGCAATGTGTCCCAGTGATGTGTCCCAGAGTTTAAACCAAGTAGTCAAACAGACAAAGGGATTTTGATGTTTCCTTGCCATGGACAGAACTAGTTTTTCAAGTCCTACATCCTTTCTAGGTTGAGATGAAGTTGGAAGAGGTTGAAAAAAAATTCACAGATCCTGTTCTGTGTGAAAATGTGCTTTGGTTCTGCAAAATTGACTCAGAAAGTGTCTTTCTTTTACCCCCTTGGCCTCCTGAAACCTACTTCAAATCAGAGGACCAATTTTCTATTGCAGTACTTTATCATTGTTCAGCTATATAATTAATTACGACATTCCCTCCTGTGACCGGCCCTCAAAGTGCTTTTATAAAGAAAGAAAATGGCACTATGCCTATTTTACAGTCAGAGAAACTGAGGCACTGTCCTGGGTTTAACAGTGGCAGTCATTTTTCTCTTTCTTGGTACCCGGTGCAGTGCTGTGTTTTGACTTCCGGCCTGGGAGCAGAGCTGATAAAAATGATGTTTTGGTTTGGCCAAGGACTTTGTGAGCCTCATGCTCTGCCAGGGAGGAGGGAAGCTGGGAGGAAGCAGAGATAGGACACCTGACCCAAACTGACCAAAGAGGTATTCCATACCACAGCACGTCATGCCCAGGGTATAACTGGGGAGTTACCCGGAAGGGCTAGGTGGACTGCAGGGTTGGAGGAGGTATCGGTCAGCGCTCGGTCGGGCTGGGGGGGTGAGTTATCAGTCGCCTGGTGATGAGGTGGTGTATTCTCTTCCCTTGTTATTTCCTTTATCATTACTATTATTGGTGGTAGCAGTAGTGAGTTGTGTTATACCTTAGTTACTAAACTGTTCTTATCTCAACCCGTGGGAGTTGCATTTTTTCTGATCCTCCTCTCCGTCCCTCCAGGAGTAAGGGGAGGGCAAGAAAGGGGGGGGAGTGAGTGCACAAGCTGTCTTGGCTGGGGTTAAACCACGACACATTATTGTTGATTTCTCTGCTTTTTTGCAGCTAACGGCAGGGCAGGATGTAATTTTTTTCTTTCCTTGGGACTTGTTAGCTCTTTTGCATTTCCCCATAGATGTTTTCTTATAAAGGGTGAAAAAATATAATAAATAAATTGAAAAAAAAATGCTTGTAGACCCAAAAGAAAGAATGCATCTATTACAAAATAAAATCTCTTCTAGTAGCTATTAGAATGCATTAAAAATATTCCCAGGACTCTCCCCTCCAGTTATGTTGCAGAAGCCGTGCAGATAATAATCATGGCTAAATGCACTACAGTGACAGCCAATATTGTACTTCCCAAGCTAGTACTCATTATTCTTTATGGAACTCATGCATTTTGTGAAAGATCAAAAGATTTACATATCATATGGAGTGCTTTAGGGAGTGACTTGCTGTGCACTTTAAATGCACAACGTTCCACAGCCATTTAAATACAGATTTCATTTCTGTCTTCTGTGTGATATTAAATTTGAAAAAAAGAGGGAGAAACAGGCAAAATCAACTTGGGTACCTTTGTTCACATCATGAAATACAATTTTACTTTGGTTTCGATATAGAAGTGTATTATTTCTATGGGATGTTATTGAATAATCTTCTAGGCTCAGCACCGGCCTTTGCTCATGAAAGAGATGAAGGAAATAATTTTTTTTATGACCACTACAGGTGAAAATAATGTAGTATTTATTATTATATATTATTATATTATATTATTTATTATATTATATATGTTCTATTATTATATTATTATATATATTATATATATATATAAAAATACTATATATGTATAGTATTTAGTATTATATTCTGTTCTTCCATGCCCTGAGGAAGGGGACAGACTCCAACATTCCACTTGGCCTCCCTCCACCGTCGGCTTCTCTGCAACATCCCCCAGTTAGTCTGGTCTGCACTTGTGGGTGGAAAGTAGCAGCAAATGAAGAAGCAGCTGCAACCGACTTCCTTAGTGCAAGAAAGAAAGAAAATGCCATGATTTCTGTGCTGCCCTAGACTGCGGCAGTCAAGGCAGATCACTGTGCCGGCAGCCTGCTTGTGTGCCCTTGGGTGAGCCACTGCACACAGGTTACTCTGTGGAACACAGAGACACAAGTGTCCTTTTTTTTACCTTGCCAGAATGTTGTGAGGATAAAGAAATACATTAAGGACAACTGAGTGGTCAGTTACTATGGTAATATGACCACATGGCTGTGTAGCGAGGCTTTGAGGCTCTGCCACACCTACATTCTACATATTCATGCTCTTGCTCCATATTCATTGCCTTTTAGCATGTGCCTAGCTGTGAAAAGATCAGCTGCTTGGACTCATCTCAGGCCTTCCATCTACTTTCTCTGCCCCTGTGGTTGTGTCATGGGACCAAACACGGTGTATGTGTCAGGCAGTGAACTCTGCCTCGGACATTTCCCATTTGAAGGTGAGATGGGATCTACAGACAGCCTGAGCTACGTTCCTGGGAGACCTGGGAGTACACCAAGGTGGGACCACTCCTGAAAGTAGATTTTCAGCATGATCTTTGTGACCAGAGAAGCATCGTGCATGAACACCATTTTTGGAAGCCCTACTGAAGTGCAGCTGCTGTGTCTTTGACCTGCACCTGCAGGTAAAATCAGAATAAATCAGGCATATGGATGCTAATCCTGGCCTAAACAATCCAGAAGAGGAGCAGATTGACTGGTTTTTGGGGAAAGAGAAGGGCAATTAGAGCAAAGGGTGTTTGGAAATTTAGCTTAAAAGGGAAAAAATAAATTGTCCTGCACATAGTTGGTCTTCTGCCAGTTTGTACACCGCGGTATTTTCTCTCATTGCAAAAGCACAGATTCGTCTTTCATTCATAAATGAGCTTTATTCTCAAGAAGGGTCCTGTTGTGAGGGAAGGTGGTTAAATGATTGTTGGTTTAGACATTGTTATATGCACTACAGTCAGAGACCCTAGTGCAAAAAGGATCCTAAGAAGGAGAAAACTGACTGCTACTGCTGAACCCAGGACACCACCACAGGTATAACCTGCTGCTGCGCTGGGGAGAACGTCAAGGGGAGAATGCTGCCACTGTTCTGAGAGGCCTGTGGCGCAGTTTTCCTTGTGCTTTCTGCATCCTCTTTCTGTCTCTCCCCTAATTTTCCCTCAGCTACAAGTTTGTCATCTGCTGTCAGCTGTGCACCCTGCAAACACAGCTCTGTGCACAAAGACCACTTTCAGTGGCCATAGGTCAGCATTCTTGTGAGGCAGTCTTGCATGTCCATGAACTCCCTCATTGCCTCAGCTTGGGCATCCGGATCCTGTGCCAGATGCTGGAAGAGGTTGAATGGCTCGGCTCCTTGCAAGGCTGGGGGCAAGATGATCTCCTCAGGAATCTTCTCATTCCCAAAGAAGAAGTGGTCGAGGCGTTTCTCCTCCAAGCAGTGGCACAGGTACCGCATGATGTCATCCAGCCGCAGCAGGAAATGTGTCCTGTGCCAGCCTGACAGGGGTATGGTGTTCAAGAGGTGCATCACCACTGTCTTCAAGGTATAGGTGGAAAAGCCTGTGCCCTCCAGAATGCGGGCGCAGAGCTGCAGGCATCTGAGGGGGAAGCTGGCATCTGGGGCCTGCCTGGTCATCAGCTCAAAGAACTTTGCCTCTGCCACAGCGCAGCTCAGTGTCCAGGTTGTGCTTGGGGTGAAGACAGCCTCACTAGGCTGGCTGCTCACGAAGATGTGCGAGTTGCCTTGCTGCATGCCCAACGTAATTTCAATGACGATTTCCTTCTCTGGTTTTGCCACCTTGAATTTGCAGGAGCGGCTGCAGGGCAGCATAGTTAAACACCACTGGTGTGAATGAGGCATAACCGCCCAGCATGCTTTCACCAGCTGATGAATCCTGCAAGCTGTTTTC